GGCCAGTACGAGACCCTTGTTAGTGAAAAAGGTAAAGAAGTGTATACTTAAGGGCTCGTTTTTCCGTGTTTTTACACATTATAATTGAGATCTAACGTACAGTAATGCCAAGGAAAGTATAGGAAAAGTTATTAGAACAAATAGAATGTAAATAATAGCAAAGAAAAGTGGGTGAAAAAATAACCAGCCGTGAGCAGGAATCGAACCTACGACCTTCTAATAACGCGTTCGATGCTCTAAATATTGAGCTATCACAGCGGCCTTCCAGCATCCACTTTTTTTTTGTTGATATGTGAATTTAAAAGTAGGAGTGTCAGTCGGCGCCATACATCTAGACAGACAGACAGACAGACAGACAGACAGACAGACAGACAGACAGACAGACAGGCAGGCAGACAGACAGACAGACAGACAGACAGACAGACAGACAGACAGACAGACAGACAGACAGACAGACAGACAGACAGGCAGAGACATACAGAGACAGACAGACGGAGACAGACGGAGACAGACAGAGACAGACAGAGACAGACAGTGACAGACAGAGACAGACAGACAGACAGACAGACAGACAGACAGACAGACAGACAGACAGACAGACAGACAGACAGACGGACAGACAGACAGACAGACAGACAGACAGGCAGACACACAGACAGACAGGCACACACAGACACAGACAGACACAGACAGACAGACACACACAGACAGGCAAAGACAGACATATACAGAGACAGACAGACAGACAGACAGACAGACACGCTCAAGATCGCCGAAGTTCGCTAAGAAATGCTTCGCATTTTAAAAAAGGGCCACAAAGCCCTTGGCACGTATGACCAACGCGTGTGCGTGTCAAGGACATGAAATCATACTTTTAAAAACTTCAAGAGAACCATCTTATCCTGGGATTTCTTGAGTGAACACCAGAGGCAGACACTTATAAACATTAGTAAATTAGAAGCTTCAAATTTAAAGGAAGCTGTGTCACAATTCACACGATAAGATACTAGTAAACGTGTTTAGAATGCTTACAAACACTAGTACCTGTGAGAACCTCACGGAAGTGTCTGGAGGGCTCTGTGGAAGCTGTCTGAAACAAACTTACAAAAATGGGTGCGATGCAGAACCCTAAACAGATGCCTTGCTTGTGAAAAAAAAAGTTTTCCAATGACACGAGATATAAGTACAGTCCAGGTACACAGTTGAAATTTCCAACAAATGTCTGTACGAAATGCATGCTGCATCTTTACAATCTATTCACTCTGTACCGTCAATACACTCGAACAGGGGGGGGGGGGGGGGGGCAACCAGAAAAATATTTTTTATTCATTTATTTGATACCCACAGCACCATAAGGCATTACAGTGGGGGGAATACAACATGATTACAAGACAGAACACAAGCTCAATTAGCGGCAAGTACAGTACAGTCTAACCAGATAGTAGGAAGTACACTGAATACATAACGTAACGGAGATTGACAAAAATTTACGAAAAATTCCAGCGGGTAACATACAGTAAGACGAAAACAAATACAATATGTATACTGCACAACAAAATACCCGTCATCAACTGAACAATTCACTCGACAAAGGAAAAAATGAATCACTAGCAACAGCGACAACGATCGCTGAAGGTAATCGATTCTACTGGGAAACCGTTTTAGGGAAAAAAGAATTACTGAACGCTGCTGTCTTTGATCGATACTCCCGCACTTTGTAAATGTGATCGACTCGTTCAGACACGTAATGAGGTGGAAAGATGTAACTGTCACGAGGAATACAAGTTCGAGATAAGTATACATCATGGAAAAGCTTCAACACTGCTTAGCCCGGTGTGTGACCAACTGTTCCCATCCTAAAGCTTGCTTGCAGCGCGTCATGCTGAAGTTGTGGCTCTTAATGTTTCCCAGGACATAACGGGCGCCCATGTTTTCCACTTTTTCCAATTTATCTTTATCGAAGGCAGTGGGCGGGTCCCATACCCTGCTCGCGTAATCAAGTATCGACCGCACGCATGATTTGTACAGTAATTCCCGCGTGGACTGGGGAAAGTCACGCGTGTTTCGCCGCAGGAACCACAGCGATCTACAAGTCTTAGCTGTCGCATAATCAACATGACGGGGCCAACACAGAGTTCGCGTGAAAAATACGCCCAAATACCTGTACTCAGAGACTATTTTTAAAACCTACTTGTTTATAGTATACGAAGGCGAGGCTTCATCCCTCTTTCTAGAAAACGTCATACACATTGTCTTTACCAAATTAAGTTGCATTTGCCATTTTTTACACCATGCATTTATCTCGTCCAAGTCGTCTTGAACTGCGCCCCGATCACTTTCGCAGTTTATTGCTCTATAAACGATGCAGTCATCTGCAAACATTCTCATCGACGATTGTACGTCCAGGGTGATGTCAATTATATATATTAAAAACAATAATGGGCCCAGTACTGACCCATGAGGGACCCCGGACATCACATTGGTAGTGGATTACTGCTCACCGTTCACGACGGCGTACTTATGCCTAGAATTTAAGTATTCTGCTATCCAGTTATTAACTTTCTGGTTAATTTTGTATTGGGTCATTTTCTGCAATAGTAAATTATGGGGAACCAAATCAAACGCTTTTTTGAAATTAAAAAAAATGCAGTCAATACTGGTTCGGTTGTCCAGTGCGCATGCTACCTCATGAGTGAATTCAATTAACTGAGTTACACAGGAATGGTCCTTGCAAAAGCCATGTTGGCGTTCATTTAACATGAAATTGGCTTCTAAATGCTTCATTATTGATGAGTATAAGACATGCTATAATATTTTGCATCAAACGGCTGTTAACAATATAGGACGATAATTTGAAACAATTTCTCGTGGTCCCAAGTTGTGAATAGGTACAACAGCAGCCAATTTCCAATCACTAGGTAAGGCCCAATCGTGTAAAGATTTTTCGAAGAATATTACTAAATACTGAAGCACTATGCGTGCACAGGGTTTCAGGAGAGCGTTAGGCAGTCCGTCAGGTCCAGAAGCTTTTGATACATCCAACCAGAAAAGTAGATGTCCTCAATATCAATAGAGATTACATCCAGCGAGTTTCGAAGCTCGAACGCTCAGTCCAACATCCAGCAAGCCCACTCTTGTTCGTCCTCCATATTAAGGGCTTTTGTTTGGCTATTGCACACGGCCAAAGCACTTGTGGTTTTAGGCTCATTGAAGCGAAAATGTTGGCATACGCTGACGACGTAGCTGTGTATTGCACTTTTAAGAAGCAATTTTAAGAACTAACTGGCATCCGAGTGCCCGGCACGCTAAATAAACACCGGCCCCTAGTATCTGTGCTCGCTAGGCTGCAAATCCAGCGAAGCACCTAGCTGTGCCGTTCAAACAAGCACCGATTGACCCGGGAGCAAACAAGTTAAAAAAACATGTTGAAGCAGCTCCTCTTTCAATGTTTGCAAGATCCACTGCAAGTTGCGGTACGTGATACAAGTGCTTGTATGCGCATCCTCTCGGGAAAGGCGCATGCACAACGAGTTGAAGGTCTGCGACAAACCGCTCTCTTTTCTTTCGAGTGCCCCGGATGGCAGCGCGAGAGCCCGCTGTTAGGTTTTATTGCGATGCCAATTACACGGACAGTCTCGGCTGAATTCCGCCGTCGGCGTCGGCGCCCGCGTCCATGCCATGCACCGTACCTATATATTTGAAAACGCAAGAAAAAAATGTAGAGACTCGAACATGGGACCTCCACGTTGTGAATGCGAGGCGTTAACCACTGAACCACCGAGGAGTACCTCCTTCAACGTTCACACGGCAAGCTATTTATATCTGCCACTTACCGCTTTCGGCGGGCATCTCGCGGGGAAACTATCGTGTTTTCAGCATTATCAGCAAGATGGTGCAGTCAGCACTCGGCAGCTCTCATCTCTCACGCGTACTTTGGCCCGTGGAGAGGAGGGGAGTGTACAATCTCTCGAGAGCCCTTATTTCTCGGTGGAGATCATCATACGTATTGGCTGGCATTGGGCTTGAGTGGAACGATGATGCTGCAGTTACGGTGCGCACAAAGGTCACTGCAATCGTTGCACAGTCCCCGTTTCCGAAAAGGCGCGCTTTTCAGACACCGCGAAGTAACAACTGAGACGCTTATTAAAACTGACTTTTTAAAGATTACTACTTTCAGCGAATCGAAGGAAAATGTATAACACCTGGTTAGTCCATGCACGTAATGAACAATGGAGCTCAAGGGCACACAAAAGTGGTAAGACAAACTTTAAAACCTTCTTCTGTGAGTAAACCTTGAACACCTTGCCAGCACTTTTTTTAAGTGGAGTTTTTGTTTATTCACCGTGAGGTTCTCGGTTTTCAATCTGTAGAAAACTCGGGAACACAGATCGAGCATTTGTGAACTTTTGAGAGTTGTTTTAAAGAGAAAGATAAAAAAAGAACTTCCTCTCAATTCACTAGGAATAAGGATTGTAGCTTCCTACAACGAAGATGGGCTGCCTTTTGAGCTAATAATGCTTCCTAGCGTCAATCGTCCAGGACATCCACAAATATCTGTATTCTACCGCAACCCTTACAAGTGACCTGCGTGTTTGTTATTTCGCAATATTGTTGTACCGTGAATTGATGTCTTCTGAAAGCGGGAGTTTTTTCTTCACTGCTGAACCACTTAGCTTACCTAAAAGAATTTCATTATTGAATTTTGCACCTTTATTTATTCTGGTATTTATTTTCTTAGTTGTGATCATTTTCTGCCTTGTCTTGAGACTTGTGCAGTGTTGTGTTACAATTTGTGAAGAGTATTGTATCGACCTTTGTACTACGCGTAACAAAAAGCGATTATATATCATATGAAATGTTTGTGGCGGAGTTCCTTGACGCGCCTCTCTATGGAGTGAGAGATGGCGGCGCACTCAGAGACTCCCCAAATAATTCTTTTGCAAGCTCTCCTGATAGCGGTATGCTATTCACTGAGCAGACAAAGGTTGCGAATAACTCACGCTTGCAACCGATCGGCCTTCCTTTCAGAGCGCTCCCACTTCGGACAAGCGTAGAGGTCCTCCACTTGCAGCGTGCGTCGGTAGCCCTCGCGAAACAGTGGAGTCACCCAGCTGCGTGTGAAAAAAGCAAATTTCAACTCTCACACAACTCGGAAGGGCCGCTTTTGCGAAGCCGGCTGGCTAAAGAGGCACTCTTTGATTACGGCTTTCCTATTACGAGCGTCTGCCAGTGAAGCAAACTGTTGTGGTGGAAGGGTTTCTGAAGAGCCATGGTTGGTAGATGATTTCATTTCATTTCCATTTATTTCATTTTCACCAAAACCGATACAATGGCGAAAAATGGGAGGATGGCAAAAAAGCTGCAGTGATTGCAGCTTGACTAAGCACCTCCTACCCTACGTCACCACTGACAGGTTAAAAACAAAATACAAGAATGAAGTGAAAAAACAAATAAAATAAAGCAAGTAATAATACAAGCAAAAGGCAATGTGAATGACAGGCCAAGATATACAAACAAAAAGAAATATTTCATACAAACATGATCACAATATTTTGCAGAGTGTGTATACCATCGCTTTTGTACATAAGAAAGGTACACAATGAGGTTACACAAAAAAATAAATAAAAAATAAAGGTACAAAAAAATGATGCAAAGCAACACAGAGTGATCTATGTAAACAATACAAATCTACAAGAATAGTGTTTGCACATCGATTGTGTTTAATTTGCCAATTTTTATGTCTAGCTGCTCATATGAGTTGAGTATAGTAGGTAGCATGTGGCTAAGCTTTTGGGTGCCGTAATTGGTGCGAGATAACGGAATTCTCCACGGGGGTTTATATCGATGCAAGTAAATGTTTTGAGTATGTTCAAGATTTACAAGTGCCGGAAATGCATCGAGTTTCCCTCTGTTTGCACTAATGAGGATTGTAACAACCTCAATTTGTATATGTCATTTGTCTTACCAATTTTATGTTTAACAAAAACATGTCCTGTGTGTTCAAGGTATGGTATGCTTTCTATTCCCTGATCGCTCTTTTGTGAAGTATTTTTAGCCTATTTAAATTTTTTGACGTGGTGTTTGCCCAAACTATAGCGCAGTAGTTCAAGTGGGCTTGGAAAAGAGCCTGACATATGAGTCGCTTTAATGTAACGGGAAAAAGACGTCGACAACGATTTTAAGTGTCAAACAGGCGTCTCAACTTTAAACTAATATGGTCTGTATGCTCACTCCAGGATATCCTGGATGTTCCTTAAAAACTACTCCAAGCGTCTTGATTAATATGGTCACTGCAATTTTGTAGGGACCTAGGGTAACATTTTGTTTTTTTATTCACTTAACATTGAATTGTTCTTGGTAGACCAATCACGGAGCTTATAACACGTGTTGGCCGCTAAAGCCTTGAGAGTACTAAAATCTTTTCGAGTAAAAAAAGGATGTGCAGTCATCAGCATATATTATGAAGTTACAGTTTTCACCCATTCTGACTATATTATTTATGTAGTATAAAAACAATACGGGCCCCAGAATACTACTTTGTGGTACCCCGGTTTTAATTTGTTGTGTGCGCGATTTATCTCAACATACTGAGACTGCGCACTCAGATATGACTGCATACGTTTAGGCGGTAGTCCCCTAAATCCATAGCATTCTAATTTACTTAATAACATATCATGAGATACCCGATCAAAGGCTTTACTTAGGTCGAAATACAATGCAAGTGTCAAAGTCTTTTTGATGTTGCAAAGTATGATTTCTTTTTGTGCTAATAATGGACTTTCTGTGGAACGTTTCTTTCTGAAACCGTATTGGCATTCTGGTATTAGATTGTGCTTTCTCGAGAAACTTTCAATATTACCGTTTATTGCAACATTACGAGAAAAACGGTAGTATAGATATTGGGCGATGATTGCTTAAGTTGTTTTTATCTCCGGACTTATATATTGCAGTAACATTCCCTCAGTATTGCAGATACTGAGGGGAACAGCGCAAAAAACGGCACGGTGAAATATTGAACACATGACACAAGCGCTGACGAACAACTGAGTGTAAACTTATTACACCTGGAAATATATAGCTGAAAACAAGAACAAAAGCCATCACGTGCACATAAGGGTGAAAGGCAAAAATGGATCTGCCACGAGTCAAATTGTACACGTTGAAAACTCAAAAAAACTTTATCTCTTTTTTCAGGAGGGTGAGTGAAGGCTCACTGACGCACATGTTCTCTTTCGTCTTGATGTGAAAAGCCTCGTTAATTTCGCCCTGTGTCTAGTTACGATAACTAGAAAGTATCATGAATTCATGAACGAGTGGGGCGCAGCTGCACAAAGAGCAACGGGCGGCCAAGGTGTTGCTTGTTGAAGTCCCGATATGATTTGCGTGCTCTCGCAGGCAGTCGTTCAAACAGCGACCGGTGTGTCCAATAGTTAACTTGTACATTTCAACTCATGGCAGATGCTTTTTTTGCTGTTCACGCTTGTGTGCACGTGATGGTTTTTTTCTTGTTATCAGCTGTATATTTCCGAGTGTAATAAATTTACACACAGTTGTACGTCAGAGCTTGTGTCGTGTGTTGAAGCTTTCTCTATACCGATTTTAAGCGGTTCCCCTCAGTGTTGTACTAGACATTATAAGTTGTCACAGTTTCACCGCTAGGGCCAAGAAATAAAACACCACACTGTTAAAAATAAAAGTCGGCATATTCCCTAAATAAATACTAACCTTTTACTTGACACATAAAGCACTAACCTCTTTTTAAGAGAAGGTAATAAAATACAGGTTATGGAAAATGACTACCTAGTTAGTAAGTGAATAGTGCTGAGTCGTGTGGTTCATTACAAAATTTTTAGTACCCAGAGCAAATAGAAGTTCATGCCTATTCGTAAAGTGTTCGCGTGCATGCCCATATCAAAGTGATTCTATTACAAAAGTATAGGATGAAAAACGAATTGTCATGGCCCTCGTAAATTAATAATGGCTTGTAACTACGTCATGTAGCTGTATTGTGGTCAGTGCGCATCACATCAACATATTCATAGAAAATTGACCACATGAACATATGGTCAAATCGGATTCACATACATATGCTAACTTCTTATGCTCATATGGACTCACATGTACGTATGCTTTGCTCATATGAGTTCTCACACATGATTATATGTTCATATGAGTATGAGAACTTATATGAGCGGATCACGAAAACACGCATGCAAACGATAGCAGAAGTAAGTCTTCAAGACTTGGACATAGCAGATTTCTACTTTAGCACCAGCTTGAAGGCTACATAAACCCCTGTTTTGGAATCACACACCATTTACTCGTTAGAAGTCACGGAATTTATAAGGTAATTGTTTTCTACGCATCATCATGTCCCCTTCTATTTGCCTGTGTGTGTGCCATTACGTAGCACGAAACATCTATTCCAAGGTACTCAATAAATTAGAGCTTGCCTAAATTTTCTTTACGGCAAAATGTACTGTGCAATTTACGAGTGATCTGGCAACGTAGGTTGCTTAGTAGTTGCTTAGTGAAAATTACTAAGAAAAAATCCTTGGTTAGTAACGGCTAAAGTTACTAGCTGTACTACCTAGTGGCTAGTAAAAGTATGCCGCGAAGTTAGTAAAATTTTCACGAAACTAGTAAACCGACGCGTTTACTAACTGATTTCTAACTTTTTTTCGAAGAGGGCTGGCCTGCGTGGAAAGTGCATAACATTCGCAGCGAAAGCTAGAAGAACGGCCTTTCAGAGCCTCTCAAAACACTCATTGGTTATACCTACTGCAATCCCACTTGCTTGATACCGAGTAGGCCATCAATAATAAAGTTTTTGGGCTAGTAGGCCGGCATTTGCTATGACATTTTTCGTGTATCCGAATATGTATAGAAGCGTGTATCCGCTAAGCACTTAGAAGAAATTTTGTGCCACTTGTTCATGCAGTGGCTGACGACGATGAAGAATTATGGCTGAAGTGGGTATGCGCCGCCATTGAGAGAGCAAAAAGAACAAGCATTTGTATGGTTTGGAGCAGTGGATCACCCAATCGTCATGCTATTCGCATTGTCTGACGACTGGTTATTCTTTCGTTTCAAAATGCTTTACAAGTCGTATTATCGCGATTGCTTCCCCAACATCAAGCCTGCCTAAGGCAAGTGTGCCGACTAGCTACAAGCACCAGTGTGGCTTAGTAGTAGAATACTGCGCTGGCACCCAGCTTACCTGGGTTCGAGCCCAACTGTGTCATTGGTGCTAGCTCTTTTTTTCTAATATCGCGCGACGTAGTTACGGACACCGGTAGCGACGGCGGTGGACAGCTGCGCGTGACCCGAGTTGTGATCTCATAACAGCTTTTGTTGTAAAATGCGATAGCAACAATTTGGCATGTAACGCGAAGAATAGCAGCAGATCGAAACATGCTGCGCGTTGATAATGTGCAAAGAACGCATTAGAACAACACACACAGTACGAAAGGGAACTAACAACGTTCACAGCTTCACACTAAACACGCTGCTGAAATAAAAACGACGCACGGAGCGAACTCACAGATACAGATGACCGTGAACAAGTGTCTCAGTTATTTCGCTGTGTGTAAAAAGCGCACTCTTTGCGCAAACAGAGGCTGCGCACCGAGTCAACTTTGTGCACCCGGTAAATACGACGAAACCATCCCGGTGAAAGGACGATAATATAGTTCTCCGCGAGGTAAGCACGAGCACGCACGATACCTCCTCCCCCCCACCGTTGGGCAAAGTACTCGTGGGAGATAAACGCATGAGCGTGCGTCGCCGCGTCAGGCTCCGGAAACTCTCAAGTTCTGCTGATCAGCTGTAGATGACGGAAAAATCGAAGCATATCCACGGAGTGCATGATGATGGGTGGGGAGAAGCATCCTTCAGTCCGTCAGAGCTTCCGTCCGTCCGTGGGACCGTCTGTTTGTGCGTCTGTCCGTGCGTTCATGCGTCTGTCCGTCCGTGCACCCATCCACCTGTGTGTCAGTCCATCCGTACGTCCATCTAGCGAACACTCCAAGTACCGCCATCTCACATCTTTTCATCATATATTCGGTTGGATGGATGGATGGATGGATGGATGGATGGATGGATGGATGGA